AAGCCATGATCAAGAGCTTCAAAATGATATATTTGCGGCTTGGATTGAACAAAAAAAGATCGCGATAGCTTCACTTTTGTTAGCGGGTGCCGGAAACGAGAAGGTTCTGTGGGGTGGCCCAAGACAGGGGGTGGCCCAACTCGGGGTGGGTCGACTTATATAAATAAAGTAAGGTTTTTCTAACGAAAAATTTACTAATACTTTTTGTTGGTAAGCCGTCGCCTCGAGTAGGTATATTTACTTCTCTCCGTAAGTAGTAAACACGATCGTTATAATCCTTAGATTAATTCCGTATATTATGCACGCGGCCCGAAGGGATTTATCTGAAAGGGATTAAGCCTGGTGCGGCACTAAATACAAGCCAGCGTACGCGTGCTCGGCCGGAAGATGGAGCGCGTGACCGCGGGTCCACCGATTACTGCGCGCACGGGATTAACCATTGGGTAATCGCGACCTATACCTAGGCATACCCTACTCCACCTCTTTTCAATATATTCCTTTCTCCCTCGTGCATAATGAACTGTTATTACCTCTTAACAAGAGACGATCGTCGTTCCTCCGACCAATATAAGTTATAAAGAGTATATTAACTTTTTAGTTGGACCAGATCGGGCACGCGCACCCGATACGGCAAAGAGAGAGCGCCGGAGCTCGGGATCGCCGATCCCGGGATCCACTGGGTCATGAACCTGGTCACGTGACCTTGTGGACCGTGCGTCAATCGGCCCTCTGTATCTAGGGCCGCAGCAGGCTTGATCCCTCTCAGATAGATCCCTTCCGGCCTTGTGCACAATATACGATATCGATCCAGAGATCACAACGATCGTTGTTCACCACTTCGTACGAGAGATAGATCACTCTATCGTAGGCATGGCCTACCAACACTTTTACTTATTTATTTTTGTTCGTAGCCTTTAGGGTGGACCTAATATTACACGGTTAACAATGCTTTAAACTCCTTTATACGGTTAAGCCAGGCGCTCCATTCCTCTGGTGCAAGATACAAATCATATTGCATAATTCCTAAAAATTGTCTTTCGACCGCGTTAATTATTCTAAGGGGAATACCTGAAACGTTTGCCCAGGATTCGTTTGTGTAGCAATCGTCAATAAGGACTGCAAATTAGTTGGCTTATTTTACTTCTTTGAATTGGGTATGTTTGGAGAATGAAACTTACATTTATAACTAAGAGCCAACGTGACAACTAGTATCGTATACTCCGTGCCTTTTATGGGACCTGTGACTTTGGATTTAATTTTTTTAACAAGATGAAGAGCGTAAAAGACGATGCTGTGATCCTCGGCTGTCTTCTTCGAAAATATTGTCGAGAAAATTTTACGCACGCCATTTTTAACCTGCTGAGAAGGGCGCCAACCCTTTTCAGCTTCAAACAGGATATAGCACGCTGTTTCTACGGCCAGATCTGCTAGGTCCTTTTTGTAGGGCTGCATTGTTAAAGTAAATTATTGTATCATTAAAAGCCAGTTAATGCCTTTATTTGCTAACCAAGTGGCCGAAGCTAAAATATTAATCGGCCCTGGAACCAAAACCCGAAATCAGTATCCAGAAACAGGACCTGGAAGTAGGGTCCTTAAAGGAATGTGAAATCAGGAAATGCAGCCACCAACTTATAACAACGCATTACGAGTAGTATATAATACCCCTCCAACATAAAAAAGCACATAACGCCGATAAGCATAGCCCTTTTGTATATTTTTCTTACTGAGCCGTTTTTTTGCGGGGCAGGGACCCATACAATTGTGTTTTTATTTGACTGATACGTGTATAGTTGCCATTTTGTAGACATTTGCGCGCCGTTAAGGGTAGATGCAACCCGAGCTAAAACCTCTTCCCTGTAGTTCTCCTCTGTTTGGAACAGCAATATTAGAGCTTGACCGGCACACATAACCTCCTTTCCAGCGGAATTTAGGTCGTGCGAGGACGGGCTTACAAGGCCAGCACATTGCAAAACCCGACTTACCAAGTACTTGGAACCCATAAGGGGTTTTAAAGTTGGGGAATGACATATCCGAGCTTGCCGTCTGCATAACAATGAATTTATCGTTAGGTTCCCAAGCGTCGGGTGAGTGCCTTTGAAGGATTTGTTTTTGGGTTTCCGTTTCGAACATTCCAATTTGTATGAGATGATATTTTCGAGGCGGGTATATTTGTGAGCTGCCACCCGGAATGATACAAAGCTCCATAATTATTTTGATAAATAATATATATTTACCTATTATTTAACAATTGGTGGTCCCTGTGTGTTAGGTTAATGTGTCGACGCAACGCGGGTAAGTGCACATATATAGGTTCCCTACTTTCACAACCTTTACAGAATTTTCTAAGGGCACAAGTGGCACAGGTGGCACAGGTGGCACAGGTGGCACAGGTGGCACAGGTGGCACAGGTGACACAGGTGGCATGTATGGCAATAAGCCTAACAAGCGCCTGGAACGATAATCCTTAACCGCCGAGATAGCGCGCGGGTGGACGCGGTAACACACGTTGGCACGCATTTAGCAAACGCTTCCGGCTAATGTATGCCGTTGTGTGTTGGGATAATATTGTAACCGTTCGGTTGGGCGGCTACATGAAGTAACGAAGACTCCTAACCGATAAAATCCCGCCGGTGACACGCACGAACAGCGCCAATGGGGTTTATTACAGGGTGGTATGGTGGCACCCTTTCGCCCAAAACCCGGAGCTTGCTTTCGGGTTTCAGTTTTGTGTGTCCACAAAACACAATGTGTGCCATTATAACTAGCTGGGCACAATGAACATATTCGATCGCCATCACGAATATCGAGCAGCACTTCTTTCGACTGGAACTTACAACATGACACCTCAAAGCCACTACCGCTCCCTAGAGGCACTGAAAAGTGACCTAAAAAGGGATGCAGCAACTATTACCGATATTTATGGGTTTAAAGTGGCTATTTACATCGAGAACGGCGGTCACATAACGTCCTTTATAAGCGATAAACATCCTATAACGAGTGATAAAAAGGAAATTGCTTGGAGTCAATTTCTTAAACCGGCAAAAGACGGCGAATACGACGAAACTGAGGCTAAGACCTCACCCCGGCGTTTGAGTCATACGCTATCCCTACAGGAAATTCAAAGTGCAGCTGCACTGGCGACTGGCCCATCCGTCGAAAGCTGGCTGGGGTCCTCTCTATCCTCCCCAGCTGTTTCCCTGTCAAGTTACTGTCCTTCCAACAGCGGTTACGAAATTACGCTTGATAAACGGTTGACCACACGATCCCCTCAATCCCCTTACCACACCGGTACTGGTACTCCTGTCTCGGGATATTGCTCTCCCAAAAGCAACGCTGTAAGCACTCCCGTGCTACATGCTGCGGAGCCTTTTCACATTTCACCCCCACTCGTGTCCACCCCAGCGCAAGAAGTAGCTCCCAGCGAGGTATGCTCCTTTAAAATCGACTATCCTAGCACCCTGGTGTCAATTCCGCCTCCCAGTGATAACCCGACAATCCTGGAACAACTACTCCACGCAAGCGGCCAGTTCGTCCCTGAAAGACCAAGGAAGAAGCGAAGATGGATGTAAGGATGGGCAGATATTGTTTTTATCAAAGGGATTATAACTTTTGCCGGAACTAGTATCGTTTCGATTAGATGTTGCACGTTGGTTTACTTTTGGATACGGGACTTTGTTAATTAAGGAATGTAATTAAACGTTACGAATCGGGAAAACTCTATAATCTTTTTCCATTACCGCGAATAGGAAACCTCCAAACCTCTAAACAGGAGTACGAAGCTTTTACCAACGCAATGACATATTATAATAAAACAAGCAAAGATATATAACGTAGTTCACCACCTTGTCGCGCACCCTCACCTTGTCGCGCACCCTCACCTTGTCGCGCACCCTCACCTTGTCGCGCACCCTCACCTTGTCGCGCACTTAAAATCCCATACTAAACGCGGTTTTTTTCAACTAAATAACTCGGCCAATTTAGGCCCAAATTTAACCAAATTTAAACAGGTTATATTTAACTATATAGCGGATTTTATATTGAATTAGTGACATTTTTACTATTACTCCTTTAGGGTTAGTTTGCATATTTGCACAGTGTATTACATAGTGTTACGAACTAACCCTAAAGGAGTAATA